TTTTGGATATCCGGAAAAACTAAAAGTTTAAAAAAATATCCAGAATTCTGGAAATATCTGGAAAAAGATAATCCCTGCATAATGATCTTGTTTTTTTGTAATAATCTAAATTTAGGTCATTAAATTATATTTCTAAACTAAAAGTAAACTTTGTTGGAGACCACCTCTGAATTTTTTAATTTTTACATATCATTATCTAATTATGTAAAAAGGTTATGTTTGCAATTTCACACTTCCGAGTACAACAGTTTAGAAATTATAGCCTTAAAAACACTCACTCAGTGGTGTAGTGGTAGAGCGCTTGTTTTGTAAGAGAGAAGTTCCGAGAGTGATCACTCACCACAACCTTGGTGGGTGATCCTCAGAAATTTCTGTTTGCCTAAAGTTTTGATAAATCTTCTAACACTTTGACATTTCAGAAAAAAAAATCTTAGGATTATCTAAAAAAGCAAACATTTCTAACTTATTGTATTTAAATAAAAAATGGCAGCATTTTTTAAAAATCTTATTTTTCAATATAACAGATTATAACTAAAAAACAATAATTACTTTGAAGAGGCATAACTCCCTTGGTTCATGAGATAAAAACTTAAATCTTAAAAAATAAAAAAATAGCATTTTAGGTGGGCAAATTATTTGCATATTAATTTTTTTCGATCGAACCATTGCGTCTTACAAAGTCTAATTGGCGCCGAGTTGACTGAGAAAGACGCTGTACAAGAAATTTTTTCATTTTAGAATAGTAATGCTTTATTCTTTTGCTCAATTTTTCAAGATTATCAGCTTTTCAATTATTCTCATACAGTTATCGGGTGACATTCTGGCAAATTTCCAGGGTTACCTTCTCTTTTGACAAAAATGATATTTTTCTCATTCATGTAATTTTGTACAGATTTCGTATAATGAGAGGATGCCAGATCAGTCCAAAATATGTATTTGCCATCAGAATGATGCTTTTTTGATAAATGGAATTAGTTTATTCTTTATACAATCTTTATCAATCAGACTTTCTCTGAATATTGGTGAAGATATTCCTTTATCGGAAAAGCAAATCCAAACAAATAACTTATTTTCATATTTTGCAGTGGGGTTGAATTTGACACTTGTTAGTGTTTGAGAAACATCATCTGAATAATAAATATCATTTCCATTAATTGAAGAGTGGTTGTCAAGGATTAACAATTTATTGGCTGAAATTCAACACAGCCAACCACACTTCATTCCAGCTGTCTCTATTTGGTCAGAAGGTTATGGAATCTTCTTCTTCTTTGGCCTGATTAAGGACTTTTAATGTTTTGTTGATATATACTTGGGTGCACTTAAACTTCCTAGCTGCTTGGGTTTGAGATACGTCGTCTTTGTGGTCAAAAATTGTTTCAAGTCTTTCTATGTTTTTTTTTGATATTATTTTAGCAATCCTACCAGTTCCAGGGACTCTTTGGTGCCCAGAATTAATTTCAGCGCGTCAAATAATGATATGGAGCTAATAGGAATTTTTTCAGGAAGAAAGTGGTCAATTGTAAACTTTTTCCCTTTAAATTTTCAAATAGAAGCTGTACAAGCATTCTTGACAGGCTTCTTGTTTTTCTTTCATTTTACTCTGTAACAGTAAATTATTTTAATTTAAAATAACAAATTTTGTAGCAAATTGAAAATGCTACAAACTAGGTAAGATTACAACCATAATTAATATAAATGTATAATTAATAAATATGTTACATAACTTTGTTTTCAAAGTCATTATTGTTTTTTAGTAATAACCTGTTACAGGGTTAAATGGTTTAAGATTAACACAAATAAAACTTTAGGGTAATCTAAAAATGCAAAAAATTTTAACTTATCATGTTCACAAAAAAAAATGGCAGCATTTTTTAATAACCCTGTTTTTTAATTTTCAGGGTTAAATGTATTATTGGAAACCAGTACTCCCCTCCAACATTCTTACTGACACATGTGAGGGGTGCAACAAATGTTAAGCCATTTTTTTAAAAGAGAAAGATACAGATGGTTGCCCTCTCTCTTTAAACTGAACAAGAGCACAAATTTAAGGGTAAGGGCAGTAACTATGTAGAGCTTTGATACTATTAACATCATTAAAAAATTAAATAAAAGTATAAAACTTAGAGAAAAGGCAGATTTTTATTTGAAATACAAACAAATTAATAATTATAAGCTAAATAAAGCATCCAATGGTGCAAATCACATTTCAGAAATCCTTAGCAAAAAACTTACTTAAATTACTTGCCATTAAAAAAAAATATACAAAATTCGCCTAATGAATCGTAAAGGCCTGATGATTTCAAATGATATAATTTTTTTGTCAAAACATAGCTCTAGTAGTAACTGTTTCACTATAAGAAAGTCACAACTCTTAAATTGTCTCCACAAGTTTTACGGTGCCCCACTCTCCCCTAGTCATTCTCTATATATGCAATCACTCTGAAATTTCAAATATTTTGGTTGTGTAAGAAAACCACAACTGTTGAAGTTAACAAAAGAAATGACTTTGATTATCACCTAATGACTCTATGATGCAAATTGCAAAATGGAGCTATAATACAAAATGAAAAAAAAAATCTGGTACTGTAAATTTTGTTCAAGTATATTTAATTTCCTATTAAAATGATGTCTCCTATTAAAAGATCATTTTAACCTGTTGTAACTTGATCAAAAGATCAAGTTACAACAGGTTATTCTTAGGAAAAAAGGTATATATTAGCGTAAAAACAGTTGATGGTCGACAGCACACATTTATATTATGCAATTTTTCATAACTTTACCAGAAAGGGCACTCCATAAATTATGTCAGCAAAATAGGTCTGAATTTTTTGACATTTGTTAACAGGATAGAGAGAGAGAGAGGGGGGGGGGAGTCAAGACAAGTTGACATCAACAATGTTAATTTTTTAAACAAATTTAGTTACTTAAAAAAAGGAAAATTAAGCAGAGTTTGGAGTCCTTACATAAGATAAACCTTCAATAAAGCTATTTATATTTGCTATTTTTACTCATAACACTATAATTTTTTCAAAGTTGTTGGTTAGTCTGCTATGCAAACAAACAAGAATTATGTAAGTACTCGGTCTATACTATATTGTTTAAACATTTATACCAGTGGTCGGTAACCTGCAGTTGATGCAGCTCTTAAGCTCTGTGCATAAATATTAATATAAAATTGAAATAAAGATTTGCTAGATGATTTGAAAAAAGATTCGAAATGAAGATGTTAGTAGTTCTTTAAAAATTCTGTTTTAAATTTCAATATTGTATTAATATTTTTTCATGGAGCTAGAAGGCGCATCTTTATATCAAAAGAAAAAAAAAAACAGACACTTGCAAGTCGCAGGTTGTTGACCCCTGGTATTAATGTTTAAATAATAGAATGTAGACCATGTACTTACAGAAATATTTTGTTTGCACAGCAGACTAAAACTGCAACTTTTGGCTCTTCTGTCCCAATAGGTTGCCGACCCCTGGTTTATACAATTTGTTAAATGCCTTTTACGTTATACAAAATCTATTAAGAAATATTGGCTTTTACTGTGAAATTGAATTAGGTCTAAAGTTAAAGTAAAGAGGATTGGCACATTGAAGTGTTACATTAATATAAATTTTTTCATAATTTAAATGTGTAAGCTGTATACATTTTTGTGAACCCTTTAATCTTTATTTTTTTGTTCAAAGTAAGTTTTTGTAGTTATAAACTGGAAATATGTTTTTAAGACAATGGGAAGAGAGGAGGCAAAAATTGTCAGAAAATTGTTGACCTAACTAATGGACAGCCCCCAAAATGGTTACAAAAATCAAAATGCAATAATAAAGGTGATATTATTGTTCTTTAAAGGCCACAATATTGCGCATTTGCTGTAAATTAATGCACAAACAAATATTTGTATACTTCATCAAAACTTAAATCTAATGTTTTTTTTATGAAACTTGAACTTGTGGATATAAACAGACTGTGTGTAGGCTGGTACTTCCAGCAAATATATAATATTTTAGCCTTAAAAGAGCAATTATGTCAGACCCACCTTAATTATACACATTTTCTGGTAAAATTCTGAACTGCATATTCACTGTTCACATCTAAATATAATGTAAAATAATGACATAATTGAAAAATAGGTTCAAAAAAATATTTTTGGAGGTTGCTCAAGTCCCAACTCAGGAGGTCAAAAAGTTTTACATTTAGTAGTTGCTTAGTAATATCAAATAATAATAGTAATAATAATTACAGGTATGTCAATCTGGGTCGCAAATCATTTTAAAATTTCAAAAACACTTAAAAAACTTTAACCATTTTTATATTAAAAAAACATTTTTAACAAGGTATAATAACAATATTATATAATAATACCAATAATTTTTTAATCAAGATTATTAAATATATATTCATAAACTTTTTTAAATTTTTAATCTTATTTAACTATTCAATAAAAATAAGGCAAAGTAACGCAAAAAAGTATTCCTATAAGCCTATTTTTAAAAATTCAGAAAATGTTCCATACATCATTAGTAATATTTAATCTAGTCAACAGTCAGCAGTGTTCCTGCATTACAGATTTTTAAGTTTCTTAGAATAATTGAATTAACAACAAATATTTGAACTATCAACAACGGAGAGAATGCTTTAATCATTACAGTAAAATAGTTCCTGACAAAACAATAGGGGTTTTTTATTCACTATTTGGCAGTAAATTAAAAAAAAACCTACTTTACTACTTAAAAAAACCTACTTTACTACTTAAAAAAAAACTACTTAAAAAAAAAAAAAAAAAAAAAACTTAAAGTATTCCAAGTTACTATTTTGCTTCAAATGATTTGCCCCTAATACTGAATGTCTAAAGTAGTACTAGAAATTCTAAAAAAATTATTGTATAGTCTAACTATTATGTAGAGCCCCCTGCCCCCCCCCCACCTTTAAAATCTACTATAGCTAAAGTTTCAATAAAATATGTATAAGTAGACATTAAAAATAAACGTTTCTAGTAATAACTTACAATATCTTTTTCGTGTTCATCCTCTAAAACTTTTGATAAAGAAACTGGTGCGCTTAACTCTGTCGGGGTGTCGAGAATTTCAAAATTTTCTTCAACTTCTTCTTCCTCAAGTGCTACTGTTGATTCTTCTACTAATGAGTGCTCTAAAACAACATGCATTACAAAGGTATTTAAAAGTTTATATTGCTGCATGCAATACAACCATTTAATTTAAGTTGTAATTTAACCATTTAGCCATCAATAGTAATGAACCAATTATTCTAACCATCAATAGTAATGTACCAATTAATCAGCATCAGCATAATCTGCCTTTATTTGCATCAGTATTGACATCAGCCTTTTTTTTTATCAATTTACTGATTTTCTAATGAACAAGAAATTTATAGAACTACAGAAAGGAATGAAAATCGGAAGATCGAAAATTGCCATGCTGTCATAGAATAAAGTTCATATTTAAGATCTTTTCACATTCTTTTTCTAAGCAATCGAATTCTGATAGCATTCATCATCCAAATCAGTCAACATTATAATGCAGTTATACTGTTTCCTGCAAAGCTGGATTACAAAAATTTTCTGCTTACCCTGAAGATTTTCCCCAGAATGTTTTTAAGGCAGTAGCTGGATGTTAAGAGACACCATCTCTTGCCTAAACTCAACCAAGAACCCGGGGTGTATTTTAAGTAAGAGTTACAAGGCAGCAACACATCTACCAGGTTATACTTATAAGTTACCAGTAGCGAGGAGATTATGGTGTTCTTGATCCTGTAATATTTAGTTTTATATAATTTATTATTTTTATAATTGGTTATTGGTATTGGCATCAACCTTTTTTTGTCCATCGGCATCAGTATCGGCATCAGCCAAAAATGTGCTATTACTAATAAACAACCAATTCAACCATTTAACACCATAAAATTTGCTATATGGTTACCTCCTTTTGCTAATACAGAAATATAAAAAAATTTAAATTATGTTATGTAAAATTGTCAGTTTGCTGTAAAACTAACAAATCAAAAAAAAGGCAGATTAAATAATAACTTTTTTTACTAAAACATTAAATTTAACATTAATCAATGTAGTTCATAAATGTATAAATATATTATTTAGGGCAAGATAGATGACCAATTTAAATATCAGTTTTGATTCAAAATTTTATTAGAGCTAAAGAAGCAATTGCTCAGATATTTAGTTAGGAAATTAATGGCAAAGAATGACCTGAAATAGTTGATATCAATTAGATAAAAGAATATGAAAATAATTTTAAGAATTAGCCTCACAAAACTAGGAGCAGCAAAAAGTAATTAAAAAACTAATAATAACAACAACAAATAAAGCAAATAATAACTAATAAACATCAAAACAAAAATGACAATATATTTATACCTTGTAAATAGGTGAAACATTTAGTTTCAGTTTACAATATAATCATTTGACAATAATTATAATATAATAAAGCACAATAAAATAAACAAACTTATCACCGTTAATTTTAAAACACAATAAAATAAACAACAAGCTTATCACCATTAATTTTAAAACGAAGCAAAAGACTCATCATATTACATTCACACCAAATAACTTCAATTTGAAATTGTCAAACTCTGTGTCAAATAAGAAAACTTTTTTACCAATCAAGTTGGAAAATCATGGAATGCGCTCAGGGTGTAAACTAGTCCTGTGGGGCCCCGTTAAAGGTTGTATTCCCTAATGCTCAAAAAATTTATATTCCCAATTTAAAGTTGAAAAATCCACTCTCCAAATAAAGTTTGCCAAACTTAGTTTAATAGTAATTCTAAAAAATATTGAAAACTAGTTATTTTTAAAAACTAAAAGAAAAATAACATAAAAAACTCTTATTTATAAATTGTGTAAAACTTGAAATAAAATCGCCGTTATTTGTATAACTACGTGATTGCATAACCACAAATATGTCTCTTAAAAAAAACTTCTTGAGAAGTTTTTTTTATTTGTATTTTCTCAGCAATTTTTTTATTTGTTTTTTCTCAGGGATTTTCTCTGCAACTTGCTTGTAAAATTCATTTCTCAAAATTTGCAAATAAATTTTTGCAATGGGATCCAGTAACATCAAATATTATATAAAAAAGTTAGCAAGAAATAGAGTACAATCTAAAAAAAGAACAAACTTGTTTGGTTTAACACCCACAAATATATTTCTTTAAATATTTTGCCCTTTTTGGCTGAAAAGTTAAATAACTTATTAAGTCTAAAATCTGCTTGCTATTTTAAGCTGAGTTGAATTCAAATTTATTTATATTAAGCATTAAAATAACTTAACTTTGTTTATATTACAGATATTCAAGAAGATGTATGCAAAACTCTTAAACATTTAAAAATTTATTAAATTTCAGTTAACTAATTAGGAAAATAATACTAATTTAATTTTAATGGTTTCTTGAGAAAATTGAAACAAAATTTTTTTTCAAATTTTATTTTAACAACTGACACAAGATACAGCACTTACCACTGATCTCGCTTGTTGTAAAATATTGTAGCAGACGCTCCTGCAATTCCAATTTAGTTCCCTTCTTGGAAAGACCACGCTTTTCTAATTCATCTTTCAAATCTTCATACTACATTTTTAAAAAATAAATAAAAAATTTCTAAAATATTCAATAATATTTAAATGTAAATTATCAGTAAATAACTTGCTTATAGTATATGATTTAAAAAGTTTTTTTAAAAGTATAATTCCAAACAACCTTAAGTTTAAACACTCCTTCGATATCAAGTTCTTCAGCCATTTTAAATATTTCTAAATGTTTAAAAAAATATTTATTACTTAAAAATCTTATAAAACTATTAATTTATAAATTATATACTTTTACTTTATTTTATATCTTGTGATATAAAATGTAATAAAAGTCATATATAACAATTTATTATTTTTATGTATAGTAAACCTTTATGATCTTGCATAAATTTATTCAAGGTTGTTAAGGTATTACAAACTTTAACAACTTAAAGCTGTAAAACTTAAACAACCTTGCATAAATTTGTTGTTAAAGTTTTATAACCTTGCATAAATTTATGCAAGGTTGTTAAAATTTTTAATAGCATCAGTAATTGTAATCAATAATTAACATTGTAATTGTAATCAAGCATTAACAACATTAATAATAGTTATAATATTAACAATAAAAATAATAACAATGATAATAAAAATAATATAACAATAGTAATAAAAATAATAATAGCAATAATAATAATAATAGTAACAATAATAATATAAATAATAACAATAACTGATAGTAATATTATACTAGTAGTAATAACAATGAAGATAATAACAATAATAACAACAATAATTACAACAACAACAGTATTAACAACAACAACAAGGACAACAATAATATCAACAATAATAACAACAACAACAACAGAAACAACAACAATACTATTATAAATACTAAATGGAACAAGGAACAACAAATAAAGTTATAACATGAAAGATAATAAGGTGGTGTTGAAAAGGAGTTAGGAGGGATAAAAAGAGAGGGCAGTAGACTACTATTGTGGATACATAGTAGTATAAACAAAAAAAAATTGTAAAATTATATATTTTTTTTTTAAATTCGCTTTTAGCTGAGTCGCTTCCAATTTTTTTTCAAACTTTTCATAATTTTTCTATTAGTGATGAGTGAAAAAGCCTAAAAAAGAAATATATTACAAAAATATATACCATAACTTGCATGTATTGAAAATGTCTTGGATATCTGTAAAAACTAAAAGTTGAAAAAATATCAGGAATTCAAGATATTTTTTTCAATTTAAAACAACTTATGTAAGACAAAGATAGAGATCAATAACACAACAATTTAATGATATATGCAAGACAAAGATCAATAACACAACAGATATTTCATCATCTAAGATATTTTTTTATATAACAGAGTTTTATTTTCTTTTTTTTAAATATGTGGTCTCGACTTGATTTAGAGGGAAGATAATTATATGATTAGATTGTTATTAATAAAAACTCAAGTGCTTATTATCATAAGATTGCAATCCTATGCCAATCTACAATCTACAATTATGATATTGAATTTTATCATTAAGTTTACTATGGTAATGTGCAATTCAATATTAAGTGTTTTAGTTTTGTAACTTTTGAAAGACTGTTAATAATGTTTGAATTAAATTTACTTAATTGAAAAGAAATTATTATTATTTATTTATTATTATATATTATTATTTTATTGAATAATTGAGCAAACTGGATCATAGTTGACATGTTGAGTTTTTTAATTTTTTTGTCAGTGATAGCTTGACTATTTATGATTAAGCTTTCCTTAGTATTATGATTATTGAATTTTTTATTTAGCCTTTCAAAGATATATCAGCTTTTGTATTTAAAAGTAGTGTTTTAGATATTGCAATAACAACTAGTTGGCTGTTCATGAGAGAAATAAGAGATTTAATGTTTTTAATGTCATCAATATATTTATCAATGTAAATATATTATTATGCAAGAAGATTAATACTAAGATTCAAGAACCTTTGATTCTTTCGTATCTTAGTACTTACATTTTATACAACTTTATTCAAAACTTTATTAGGGTTTTTAAAGAGATTCTTGAGGTTTAATGTTGCAAAATAAATTTGTGTGAAAATTAAATTGAGAATAGATATATTCATTATCTGTTGACAATGGTATGGTGTCTTTAAGACACCAAAAACTTGTTTAATTTATTGCACATTGTTTCAACCAATTAATAACACATGCCAAATTGCATAGCTTTATGAATATCAGATAAAGACAAAGCATAAAAAAGATTTTCAGAAAAGTGACAAAGATGCAGTCAAGACAGAAAAGGCCAAGACCAAGAAATTCGGACTTAAGACCAAGATGTAAGACTTCGAGAACAATACAAAGACATGAGTCAACCATAAACTAAATAAACATTGAAAAAAAACAAGACTTTAAAAATTTTCATGAGACCAGGATCAAAACTTGGATTCTAAAAGTCCAACACAATAATGCTCACACATATATGTATACTATTAGATCTTTAGCTGATGTACTGTTTTACCATTTATACACATTACTCTATCATTAAATGTAGTTACATGCTGTTTTTTTTTTTTACATCTTCGCTTCCAAAAAGGCTGCAAGCAACAACTATAAGAGTTGGAAATTACTGGAAGAGAAAAGATGAAGTTTGTAGAGCAAAATAACAATTGAAAGAGGACTTAAAAGATTGCAAATTGTATGAATCAGGAAAGCAAGATAAAGAAAGATAAAGGAAGCAAATTCCAAAGAACTGATGTTCGAGGAAAAAAACTAAAGAAATAAGAGTTTTTGGAGCACTTAGGAACAGTAACAGAAAAAGGATGAAACTTAATTGAATGATGAGTAATATGAGAATTAATTTTAGTAGATGGCACAAGAGACGCTAGCTCTTTAGAGCAGTGCCCATTATAGTATTTGTAAGAAAGAGAAAGAGAAGCAACGTTACAACAATGTGATAATGGTTGGAGGTTGGCTGCAAGAGCAGGTCCAACTATGTTTACAATGCGTTTTTGCACCTTGTCTAAAAGAGAAAGGACATCATTAGAAGATCCGCCCCAGATATGGCAACAGTATTCCATACAAGAACAGATTTGAGATTTATAGAGATAAAGAATAGAATCCGAAGTAAGAAAGTGTCAAGCTTGATAAAGAGATGCAACCTTAGCAGATGCTAATTTTGCAATGGATTTGATATACAGTTTCCAAGAAAGATCAGAAGTAAGAGTTAATCCTAGAAGATGAAGGGCAGATGACTCATCGAGTACATTACCATTCATAAATAAAGGAAGATCTAAATTATTGTGATAATGATTGGCTGAACTATTAGTTTTTTATTTTAAATTAGTTTTTTTATTTTAAATTAGTTTTATCTAAATTAAAGTTCACCAGCCACTATGAGCCCCATGCTGTTGCGGAAGTGATATCTTTTTTAAGCTCAGATGCCCCCTCCAAGCAATCAAAGAGTGTTGGCTTCTTATCATGAGAACAATAAATGGTAGTGTCGTCAGCAAACAATGCCACTTTCATACTACGATTGGAAAGGTAGGATTTAATAATCTTAAAGATGCTACCAGATACACCATAAAAAGAAAGCTTATGGAGGAAAACAGCATGCCAAACTTTATGAAAAGGTTTAGAAATGGCAAGAGCGATAGCCTTAACCTCTTCACCTTTATCTAATGCACGATAAAACCTATCAGTTATTACTGTTAGCAAATCAGCTGTAGAACAAGAAGATCGAAATCCATATTGATGATCAGAAAGTAAGTTATTAGATTCAACAAATTATTTAACAAACACTTAATATGAGATATTAAGTGTTTGTTAACTAAAGATCTAAAAACATTGCTTATGTTAGAAAAAAGATTAATGGGACAGTAATTAGTTGAGTCAGATCGCTCTCCAGAAATTTTGAAAATAAGGATAACAGATGCCACTTTCCAGCAGGCTGGAAAACAAGACTCTGATAAGCACTTGTTAAATAGTTTAGAAAGTATGGATGACAGCTCCAAAGAACACTTTTGCAAGACTATAAAAGTTGTCTGGACCAAGCTGTAGAAGAGTCTAAGCAGGAAATCACTTTTGATACAGAAGCTGGAGTGATACGAATGTCAAGCAATGGATCAACCTGTTTGACGGCTATATCAGGTAGAACGCAACTAGTGTAATCAAGGGATGATATTGATGAAAAGTTATTAGAAAACAATTCAGCTTTGTCTTTAGGGTTAAGTGACAAAATTGGAACCATACAAGAGAGGTGGAATAACAGATTTGTTATGTAAGAAGCACATTTGTCAGCAGGAAGAAGAAACCCAAGAGCCAACACGAAGAAAATCACGGAAAGAGTCCCAGTCAGCATTAAGGTAGTTGTAAGAGGTACAATGATAGGGGGATTCTGATGATAAAGAAGAATGAGATAATAGTTTTAAAGAGATCAAACCATTATCAGAAGCACCTAAGAGTGAATGTGGAAAAACTGAGCACTGACTAAGATCAGAAACAAAACTTAGGTCAAGTAGAGATGGTAAATGATTCGGGTTGTCTGGAAAGTGAGTTGGAAAGTTAACTATTTGAGTTAGAGATTGAGAAAGGCAAAAGTGATTGGTCTTAGTTAACCAGCAGAGTCACTGACACTAAAGCCAAGCCAGTGTAATGAGCATTAAAGCCACCAACAAAAAGGATATTACTGATGGATAAAGAGAGAAGCCTTGGTCAATATGATCAGAAATAACATCAAGAAGAGTGCAGTCTTGAGATGAAGGAGAGCGATATAGAACAAAGAGAAAGGTGATAAAGTCAAGTGGTGCTAAACAAAAGTACATAAAAGAGAAGTCTGTGGATTCAAACCTAGTTTCGCGACAAATGGGTGAATTCTTACGAATGTAAATGCCAAAGCCAAGGATGTGACTATTGGAGTCTTTACAAGATCACAAGATGAGACAGCTGAACTCAAATTAGTCTCACAAAGAGCAAGAAAGCTGGTGAACTTTGCAAGAGATAAGACTCAACAGAAGAAAAGTAACTTCGAAGACCACAAATATTAGTGAATAATAGGTTTAGAGAACTTGGTGATGACAATGGTTTTTTGTGTTTTATAGTTTTTGGTACTTTAGTCATTTTAAATTTTTTAAAGAACTTGACTTAAAGCATAGATAGTACTCAGTACACTATTTAATAGTCTAAGCAATTATCTCATTACTTAACATCCTTAACTGGAAACAATGTATTAAAAATATATCGGC